TAGCATAATATTCCAAATATCCGGGAATTATGAATTATGCAAAACAATACCTTATTGATATAGACTGTAAGATATTTTTTGAAAAAATTTAAACGTTATTCACTAGAAACGTTTAAGTAAAATTGTATTTATAAATGGAGAATAAGATCAAGAATAATAAACAAGAGAATCAAATAGATAATTGTTATGTAAAATAAGATGAAATGCTTAGAATCATTTCCGTATTTTCGTTTTTTTATAAATTGACAACGAACAAACTAATAAACGTAATAACACATAATAACACTACTTATGTTCCGATTTCCTACAAAATAAACTTAAAAAATGAAAACCTTATTCTATATTTACTGTATAATCAAGTTAAACGCAGTTTTAATACAATATAGTGTAGGAACACAGTCGGGAAGCGCATTTCTCTTATTTTTAAATTGAAAACCACTAGTCTGTTGCAACCACTACTTTAATATGATAAAACGAAATAGATTTTTATTACCTTGATCTAGATATATTGCGAGCATCGAGCATCCTTCACCTTTGGTCAAAGCAAAACAAGACAATAAAATAGAACTTGGGACCTTGTACGAAGTAATGAGTAGTCATCTCAAGGATTGTTCTGACTTCTTTACAATATTGTTGATGGGAGCGAGTCATCATCATCACATTAACAGCTCGGCTGTACTAGAACTTTTTTTATGGGACAAGTCCGCCACAACCTCCCTAAACCGCTGCAACTCCCTGTAAGTCAGGGTCTAAAGTAGATACAACCATGAAAACACTGGAACACTGAAGTCCGGCGCGTCCCAGGGACATGAGTAACTGTCTTGGTTCCCGCAACGAAGTGAATCAGAATAATATTATAATATCTAATAATATATTTTTTTTTCTTCTCCTCTTATACTCTTATAAGACGAAAAGAAGAATTTTTTTCTTCTCCTCTTATAAGAGGAGAAGGAAAAAAAACGATAGTTTCCACTTCCCTCGGTGAATTACTGCAGGAGACAGAATGAATTAAGCCAAAAGGTACAAAAAAGAGACTGCACAACTGGGTGAAGCCCAGTCGCCAATCACCATGAAAATTTGACTAAAAACTAAGTGGATCCTATGTGTGAGCTGTTATACTTGCTTCCAATAATACCTATTAAGGTATGGCAAAAACGCCTAAACGCACGGAAATTTGTTCTAGATTCCACAAGATCCGTAAGTAAGCTACACCTGACGAAACAATTAAATTATTTAACATAGTGTTACGTTCATACGGTTATACTACATATTATAGAACTGTCAATATTCGAACTTTGAAAGTGAGCTCGATCGCATACTCATCCGTCATTGGTCGAGATTTTTCTCACAATCAATAACATGGTGATCCGCGATCAAGTTCTCTTCAATTTTTCAAAATAAATGTTACAGAATTGTCTAGTTAGGTCTTAAGAGTCCTCTACATATGAGGAGTTTGTCATAATTTCTACGCTTCATAGATGGATATAGCTGTTATGTGTATTCTCTTGACTGGTTCCTACAATACCCCGAAGACTAGGGATGCTAACATTTGTCTTCTACTCTGCTATCACCATGATGCAGGTTAAGTAGGGTAATATACTTGACTACTTGTCATATTCCAGATGCAAGTTGTATGTGTAAGTTTGGCGACATTGCAGTCGTGAAGGCTTTATGTAATAACTGGTGCATAGCACAAATATATACAAAATGCTTTCTGTGTCAGTGCCTGTTACTTGGTGCTAGTGTTTTGGAAATATATAACTTTTGTTTATGTATGCAAGTGATAAAAGAGAAAAATTAAAAAGTTTAAATCCAATGTGAAATTGGGTGTAAACAGAATTCATCAATAGATGCCATTAATTTCGGTAATTTATTAGTCAGACCTTAGTACTTACTGCTAGTACTTCTTTGCTAGCTAGCTACGGCTTTTTTATGGGATAGGAGGCAAACGAGCGGACGGATCACCTGATGGTAAGCGATCAGCACCGCCCATGGGCACCCGCAACACCAGAGGAGTCACAGTTGCCGGCCTTAAAAAGGAATATGCTCTTTTCTTGAAGGCTTGAAGGTCGTATCGGTTCGGAAACACTGCCGACGACACCACAGTTTTGCTGTGCGAGGAAAAAATAAAGCTACATCTAAAGCAAAAGGTTTGCCATCAGACTGCCGGTAAGCTTTGAAACTTGCGAACTACATACTTCCAGTGAACAATATCGAATCCTGAAGAACACGCATTAACTCGTCGAGTACCGGTTTTGCAGACACAATTATAGAACAATAGGTTGCGGTCACCGGTGACCGCTTGGTATTTGACAGTTTAATTACTAATATCTGAAACAAAATAGATATTTCGTGCTTCCATAATTTCTATTCACCACTGCAAATGACTCTAAAACTAAATTTTCAGAAACAAAATGAAGTTAAAAACAATGAAGTAAATATAGATATCTGGGCGGAGCGAGGTTGGGTGGAGTTACATCAATTCAGCAATTTCATTATACATTATTGGAAGGCTGTTTGTCGGTGGCTGGCTCGTTGCCAACCCCTTGCATAATGTTTCAAACACTGCAGTCACTTAGCAGAGCCAGCCGAAGGTTCAGTTGGAACTTTCAAACTGAACTACAAACTTTGTTGTGGTTAGGGGATGTCGGGTAGATGTATTATAAATAGATATATATTAGATAAAATAGAACAGGGTATTTTAGTGCCAACCATGTTTGAAGTAATTGATTTCCTTTAATTATCGTTGTTGATTTTTTTCACAACTATACTTAATACCTGAATTTCCATTAGCTAATATCGATTTCGTACAGTTTGATTAGAATTACTAAACGATTGGAATATCGATAGGTTTTTAATATCATAAATGAATGTCAAAAACTCCCTAAGGACAGGACCACCACTAAACATCTCTTGCAAAATTAAAAGTGTGCATTGAATAATGTTATTACGTATGCGAATTCGTAAATAAGCCTTCTGTGTTTCTCTTAACAGTGACATCTGAAACTTGACTTGCATCGTCCAAATGTCGCGACCCTACTATCGTTGTAAAGTTTTGCATTTATACCCGACATTCCAGCTTTTTATGCAAAGTGTTATTGTATTGTACGAATTTCAGCTTGAAATGTATGCGCAATCGTAGATGTTATGGGCGGTTATTGTATTTATTGTGTAATAACATTTTTTTTGTGCCAAATCTGATAGTAAGTAGGTATTTCTTTTTAGTAGGGCGTTGCTCTCTATTTAGTCATAGCTAACACCGTAATACTAATGAATAAATAATGAAATGTGTAGTTAGTATCAGTCTCTCCCTTTAGGAGGGATAACAGATGTCACATTAGGCAGTAGGTTTAATTAATTCGTAATCTAAACGATAACAACTGATTTTATGAAAACAGACTATGCAATAAGAATAAGCTTGTTTAAAAATGGTTAATTAAATCCAAGTACATGCATTCTTATTCTCAAATCTTTGTATACTCAAACTTAAATAAAACACTAAAAAACCAACTTGAATCCTCAATTTAAGTTCACCTAGCTTCATTGACGGACTGACTGACTGACAGACTATTATCTATTTTGTATTTGTTGACGTTTCAAAAGTACCAGATTGTGGTTTAATTGAAATAAATGCTTTGACTTTGGAATACCGGTATATCGTTCTGGAGATTGGCTGCATACGTATGACTTATTTTCAAGATTTAGGTAAACTTACATAATATTTTTATTTTGAGCCTGTTAAAAGAAAACTTCTCGTTTTTATGTAGATGCATATGTTCAACTTAACACGGCCATTTATGACGTCACAAGAAAAACGCAAAGGGAGTTGAATACATAAGTACAGTTAGTTCATAACCTAACCCAGTTCCATTCTGAGGACACGGTGGAACACACAGTGGGAGAATGCCCTGCGTGGGCTGAGCACCGCCGTGCCCTCAGGGAAGTGATCGGCGATGGCGACCTCTCGCGTCCGGGCCTAGTGCGGGCCATGATGCGGAGCGAGGGGGATTGGGATGCCGTCTCCTCCTTTTGCGAAGCAGTCATGCTAGCTAAGGAGGAGGCGGGACGCGTGAGGCAGCGAAGCGCTGCCTCCTCGCAACCCAGCCATCGCGAAGGACACACCGGGCGTCGGGGATCGCGGGACGATCTCCGGCCACCGTAAGCGCGGGCCTGCGGACGGCGAGCATGGGTGGCTCCCCGTACGACCAGAAACAGACCCGAGCGTACGGCGCGTCGCGTTCCGCGCGCGCCTCAAAGAGCCATCAGACCACCACAGATGGGGCCCAATAGGGCCGATGCCGATTCGGAGTCGCGGAGAACCTAACGGGTAACCGGGGCTCCGGCTCGACGTGCAGGAGAAGGAACGGGGTGGTTTTTAGTCAGTAAGAGTCTGACACTCCCTCCCGCCTCACCCAGGCTGGAGCAGTCATTCGATGATTTTCCCCCCTTAAAAAAAAAAAAAAAAAACCCAGTTCCATTGCTTGGTATGAACGCTGCCGCAGTAATAGTTTTTCAAAAGTCACGAATACCTATAAATCAAATATATTATGTGCTTCTCGATTTAAATGCGCATTTACGACCATTTAGAGATGCGAAACACTTGTGTAAGGACACATTTATATGCCCTAGTGACCTACTTTTAAGTCATTTAGAATTATCTACAGTTGACTGATGGAGTTAAACTACAAGTTTCCTGTTAATTGATGTTAAGAAAAGGAGCGCTGTTTGGACCCGACAACATGACTTATTTCATTACACTAGAGAGGCAAGTAATAATAATTATGTAGTTGCAATTTAGGAGTTTATTTTGTACGTGGTAGCTAAAGACAAGTAGTGAACATAGTGGTACGATTTTAAGCCCTCGTGTATTACAAGTTTTGCAACAATTTCTGTCCCATACAGGTACTGTACACACCGAAGTATATTCTGGTCCTTATGGCCACTGAAATTTGTGACCAAAAGACCAAAAGGACTATCAAAATAAGTTATTTTGGACTAACCTGAAATATTGATTCGTTCCTCATCATAGTAGTCGAGCTTGTGCAGCAGTTCCTCATCATCATCAGGCAGGACCGGCTCCTCGGGCAGTTCGTCGGGGTGGCGCGCTCGCGTCGCGTTGGGTGCTGCGCTCACCAGCACGCACACCACCGCCAGCGGCAGCACCACCTCCATAACGACATCACCGCGCACACCACACCACACCGACGCTGCTGGGGACAACATCATTTTATATTAGCTTCGTCTGGAAATAATCATATACTAGTCATATATGTATAATTGTCGCTGTTTACGTGTTGAAACTGATAAGACAAGTTGGGATTTAACTAAATAGAATTATCAAAAAGTTATACGCCGTAATGGAAGAATCGAAATAAACAATTTTGAATTCCTGTTGGTATATATTATTTTGATGTATGTTAGACACATTATTGCTTGTCCAGCTATAGTGTGATTTCCATGTAGTAACTACACGGTTATATTCTAGTATGATTGTGAAATAAAGAAATTCATTGTGATAATATTCAGCTTATTACATCATTTAAAATATATTAACTATAAAGTCTAAATGAATGCTGAAGTGAAGTCTGAGGAAATACTCAACCGTAATTTTAGAAATGAAAATGTTTTACCCAGTCACTACAGTCGGACAGTCGCCGAACAAAAGTTAGTATTGTGTTCATATTTGCGCATCGAAATGGGAAAGTTATTAGGTGGATTATATCCAATTCTATCTCTCTGTGTGTGTGAACTCCATCTGCGTGTTATTTTAAGAAACTTCTCTGTAATCATTTTCACCCTACGTTAAAATTCATTATGGTTTGAAGTTATTCTTGTTGTGCTAGTTTTCGTAGATCGTATATATGCTGCAATAGCGTATTAACTCGTCGAGTACCGGTTTTGTAGACACAATTATAGAACAATAGGTTGCGGTCACCGGTGACCGCTTGGTGTTTGACAGTTTAAAAAACAAACACACAGACGTACACATGTGTTTATGATGCATATTAGTACACGGGATTTAGAAAATTGGAAAATGTTGTCCACACGTGTCTTGAAAACCGTGATAGTTAATTGAACACTGAACAGCTACTGGACCTGCCTTCTCATCAAATTATTCATTAGAAACGATTCTTTTTATTTTATCTGCCAGAGATATACCACTCCTTTATATTCGTCTTAGTTTGTGACGACGAACACAAGTAAAGAACACAATTTACTAGTAGAACGTATATTTCTAAGAAAATTCGACTGAATAAACACTTGACATTCAGTAAAAAAATATATTAGTGACTGAGCCAAAAGAACTACAAAGATATTCATGGAAATTAAAAGAAATACATTAACAAAATGTTCTTTAAGTAATTTTGTTGTTAAGCGAAAGAAAAATAAACTGTGAGAGAGAAACCTAATCAATGGTGACCCATTTCCATATGGATTCTTACTTACTTCAATATTTTTATAGAAGTAAAATACTTGGAATAAACAGCAGATCTTTTACAACTTTCTTAAATGGGGACAAAGACCTGGATTTTTATGGAGGTCGAGACGACTATAAAGAACTTAATTGATCTAACTTTGGTTAAATAATTCTGCCAAATGCCTACAAATCTGGTTGTTTTATTTTTGTTAGGTAGTGTACATATTGTTTTGTTGGCAGGTTTTTATATGACAACGTTTACATACTTAATGTAAAACGCTTGTAACTTTTTAAAGGTTCTTTTACTTGAATGAACCGCGTGGCAAAGTAAGATAAATCTGACCTCCCATTCTTATTGTGAGTGTCGTGGGCACCGTATATAATAATGGATTATACAATACATTTAGAGATATACAGCCGAGTGCGCTATTAATAACGACTTTAAATAATTGCTGTGGATTGGGAACTGCGGATCACTAAACCATTTAGCAGGTTCGATTATAAAAGACATATGTAAAACGAACTGACCAAAGACCTTTTCGTTCAACATTTTCCATATATGAACGTGATCCAGACGATAGCGTTTAAACCCATAATCCAATCTAACAGTTCTGCAGTTCCAGCCTGGATTACTAAAGTGGGATGGATACGTATATTAATGGAGTACACGGTGAGAACAGGTGTAGCGCTTGTGGCTGTGACACCTGTCCAATTCGGAACCGTTCCAAGTTGGCAGCCAGCCGGACTGCGGCAGAATGAATTACACTAATATGTGGAGAATTTGTTGCACTCTGTTATTTACTCATCTTGTACAATTTTATATTTAATAATAATAATTGTATTTTACGGAAACTAAAATATGTGTAAGAGACAAAACCAAAGGATGGTCTAAGAACAGTAATTGACGTTGATTTATTTAAGTGTGTTCTGTCTACAGTCAATTAAGTTTCCTATGGTTTTTAAAGAAGGGTATTGTTTTAGCAAATAATAAACTATTGATGATTGACTGTCATGGATCAACAGTGCCAAAAGTGCCAAATCACAAATAGTCTTTTAATTAGGCAATGAAAATGGAATATCTTGGTATTTTTGTAAGGGGGGAAAATCATCGAATGTTCTCCCGCCTGTTTTCCACGGCTCCGTATCCGCATCAGCCCTAATTGGGCCCCATCTGTGGTGGTCTGATGGCTCTGAGGCGCGCACGGAACGCTACGCTCCGTACGCTCGGGTCTGGTTCCTGGTCGGGCAGCGAGCCACCCTTGCTCGCCGTCCGCAGGCCCGCGCTTACGGTGACCGGAGACCGTTCAGGGTGATTGACATTAACAAAATATCGTGCCATGGAACAATGTGTAACAAGTACCATTTAATTTGACGTGTCGAGTAGTAATATTGAATGCGGCTGTTGTGGAAAACTACCCGAACAACTCGTTACAAGCAATTGTAATTAAATCGTTATACTGTTGTGACATACTGCTGGTCATCACGCGTAGTACAGGGTGTTTTAATTGGGTTTAAATTATTCTGTTGGTTAATTTATTAAAATTGTTATACCTAATTTAGAAGTTAAAAACTGTCATAATATTTCACCTTATAATTTCCGAAGGTATTAGTAGACGTGTATATTATTGGTCACACACTTTTAGCTAGTTGTGTTAAGTTGCCATTAAGTATAATGGGGCGTATAAATAGGCAACCTAATTTGTGAATATAATACGAATTACACTTAAATTCGTGAATTAACCAAATCGACTAACTAACTAACTAACTAACTAACTAACTAACTGAAAAAACTGGTAAAAATTAGATATTACATGTGTGCAATTGTGCACCTCTGCCTATCCCTTCGGAGATTATAAGTTGTAACGCATGTAAGTTATAATGCGAAAAGCTTTACAGTTGTGCTATTTATTATGGTATGAACACTTTTATTGCAAACTTAAGTAAAATATGAACAGCAAGCTAACTTTTAGCATAACATTTGTTTGTATATTTATTCAAACACCGTTTTCCCTTGTCTCTCATTTAACAAAGTGTGTGTAAGTCAGAAATGAACACAAATAACATTAGTTAGTTAGTACTACCCCTGCGTCCAACAGGTTGGCGTGAGAGAACTGTTCTATTATTTGTTAACGCACTTTTTACAGAGATAACCTTCACACACTATTATTGCTTGTGTAAGTAGAAAATATTAATAATATGAGTCTTAGTTAGACGATATAGAGGTAATTTTCCATTCATTGCTTTTCAAACAGCTCGTGATCATTACATGTAAGTGTTAGACATTCGTCACACGAATATAGCACAAATCTAAAGAGCGCACCACACCTGAGAATTTCCTAAGCCAAATAACAATTTGAGCGACCCAGTTATCGAGTCCTTGATACAAGACCTTCGTTGTCAAACGGGTAATGATACAGCCATAACAATTGTAATAAACAGAATCCATAAAACTTTAAAGACTTTGAAACCTCACAATGTAAATGAAGAAATAAAATCAGGTTACAGAAAACTCTTACAGCTGGGAAACCTTTTCAATGATCGCTGGAACTCGGGAACCACCATTGTCGTTTGGGGCTTGTGTACCTTCTGCCTACGCGAACAGAGTTTTGTACGGAAGGGCTCCGGGCACAATCGTATTGTCACCAACAAATTGTCAATTTAAATATGATATCTTTCCCCGACCTTTTCTGATTATTATTTTTTCCACTTTCCGTCACGAATATTGAGATTCCTTTTTTACCAATTTGGAGATATCTTTTAAGATAAATACCGGGGACTGATTCGAGCTCGCTATTTGCGAACGGGAAAACTGGAAGATAACATTTATTCGTTCTTCATAATAATTAACTATTGAGGAAGTTTAATGGAAATTATGTTATTTCTATTTGAGTTAAAGAATGTAAATTGTAGTAATTTAGATAGAAGTTAAGTTTTTTGGGGATGTGCCACTTGATTGGTGTTTTAAGGGTCGGTATTACATTCAATAAACTATTCATTTAAAGAATTATCTGAACATTTAAGGAATTTTGATGAAGACATATTGTTACGTAATGAATAAAAATTACATTACCTAGAGCTCGTTTCTTGATTTAAAAATAGCCATAATAATAAGTTTTCATTTGAAACTTTAATGGTGCTAACCTACTTCACAGTTCAGTACAGTACAGTACAGCCTTTATTTAACTTTAACGTCATAACCAACTGGGTCACTAGTTGCCAAGTAAAAGCCTATTTATAAAAATAGAAGAAAACATCATATACATTCTCTTTGGTGTCAATAAATAAGTGAATTGGTACGGAGGCCATATTCCCTGAGGTCGGCGCCGGTTGGGCTAAACTATCGTGTATCTAAGGCTACGTGGATCATCGTACCTTTCATACGTCATATCGACGTGCTGAGGTAATTGAGGGCAATTTTATTACATACTGGTTTTTCGTACATCTGCAATATTTAGTGATGTGTTTTACCGAGTCAAAAGACAATATTTCTATATAGGTACTTTAAAGTGGATAAAATAATTGATTTTATAATTGGAAACTTCTTCGTCATTTGTATTTTCGATTGGCTGGTTTAACAATAGTTTTATTTTGAACATAGATTACTTCGAGCATTACATATAAACATTTTTCTTTCACATAGATTGCATGTAGGTTAAACTCATACATGACCTCGATTGGTTATATTACCAATAAGACTTTTGTCCCAGTAACGAGGGCAAAGCCGCGGGCAATGTGCTAGCTTGCCATAAAACTGTCATAAAGATGTGATAAATTAGATAATTTAGTGGTTCT